GGGGATCGGGAGGGCTTGGTCCTCAGCAGGGGAGGGGGCGAAGGAGGAAAAGAGGAGGGGAGGGTGGGAGGGAAGGAGCTCCACAACTATGAAGACTCACTCGCCCAGCAGCTCCCCCGTGTCTTTGTCTAGAAGGCGCAGTGTGGAGTCCAGGCTGGACACCAGGGTGCACTGCCCGTCCCGGCTGAAGCAGGTGCAGGTAATGGGGCCTGGGAGGAGGGGAGGGGGGCAGGCGGGTGAGGCTACGGTGTCCCTGGCTGTGCTCTCTTCCAGTCTCCCAGCCCCAGCCACACTCACTGCCCACGTAGTCGGAGAAGAGCTGCCCCATCCTCAGGTCATAGCGCCTCACGCGGCCATCCACGGAGCTGCAGAGAGGGTGGATCCAGCTGAAGTGTAGAGTGGGGCCAGCGGTTCCATGGCTCCAGGCAGCCTGTCCCTGTGACCCTGCGACCTCCCACCCAGCCAGGGCGCTGAGGGCAGGTCTGGGCCTGCTCTTCCTGGGCACATGGGTGCAATGCTGAGGCTCTGGCTTTGAGGCTCAGGCCCAGGACCCAATCAGGTCCCATTCCATCCATTTCCAAGATCCACAACCCCGTTTCCAAACCCTTCTGGATTTCTTTCCCCACGCTCTCCAGCTCTTCCTCTATGTACTTTCAGAATCCAACCAGTTTCCCACCTCCAGCACCACCCTCTGGTCCTGGTCGCCCAGCACCTGCACAGTCTACCCACAGCCACCAGAGGGAGCTCCTTTGAAAGTACAGTCATGGGACCCAATCCTTCCCTTTCCATTAGCCTCAGATCCTGAGGCCCTTCAGACCCTGTGCAGTCAGCCTGTGAGCACCTCCTCTTCTCACCTCCCCCCACATGCCCTTGCAGCCTCTGCGACCTTGGCCCAGTCACAGTAGCACCGCAAACACCTTCTCCATGGGACATCCGCACTTGCTCTTCCCCAGTGGGCTCCTCATCCTCCTTCATCTCAGCTTACACGGCCTTCCCTCTGTACCCCCCACCCCACGCAACAATGACCTAAAGTGTCCCCAAGTTAATTTTTTTTTTGGTGGCTGGCAGATATGGGGATCGGAACCCTTCACCTTGGTGTTATAATGCCGTGCTCTAACCAACTTGCTAACTGGCCAGTCCCCAAGTTAATTTCTCACACAACCCCATCTTTTCTCTTGACCCTTACCACTGCTTCAATTATGTTAGTTGTGTTTATTTCTTTACTGATTGTCCATCTGTCCCCCTAGAGAGGGGCTCCCAAAGGGCAAGGACCAGGTCTGGTTCATTCTTGGCTGTGTCCCTGGCACCCAAAACCAGGCCTGGCTGGGAGGCCTCAAATCCCCAGTGAATGACTATGTGAAGGATGGGTGAGGCTGAGCATGGCAGAGTGGGGGCTGTCAGTGGGGGGCCAGGACTACATGGCACTTGGTTGCCTGAGTATGGCCCAAGAGAGAGGGGACTGTGTGTCCTCTACCAATGGAGAATGGAAACGGCCAGTTCCTTAGGAGGCCATCAGGAGGATCTACTCAGATGATTCAGTTAAATATGTACCTAGTGTCTCTTCTGGGTCCAGCCCTGTGTGGAGACCTGGGACATAGCCGTGACCAAGGTGGGTGCAGTTTCTGCCATCATGGAGCTGGCACTGACCAAGGGAGATCTAGGAAAGTGATAACCAAAAGAATCTGCTCTGACCAGGCCAGCTAAATTATAGTGCCTTCAGATATCTGGGATGTCAGTAATCACATCCACCTGTCCTAGAATATGTTACTGTAAGACCATTTTACTTAGAAGCAGCCACGATGGCACCAGAAAGCCATAAAATAACCTAGAATACTTATTACCCTTGACCTAGAACCCTGCATGTAGGATGTAACTTAGTAACAATCCCAAATCCATATGGCACATTCTGCCAACAGAAGGCCTGATAATTAGGTGGGGTTCTCTTTCCTTCGACCCTTTCCCCTTCTTGTGATTATAAAATGTTAAGCTCTGCTGGCCCTCTTTGGAACACATTTTCAGGGATCCCCAATCTGTGTGTCTCCCCCACTGCAGTCGTGATACTGGCTCAATAAATCCCTGCTACATGTATTTGGTCTCAATTTCTTTTTAGGTCAACAAAGGCCTCCCTGAGGAGGTGACATCTGAACTGGGACTTGAAGGATGAGAAGGAGCCAAAAGTGTGGTCCAAGGAGAAATGTGTGGGAACAGGGCCAGTCTAACAGGCTGGGCAGCCCTAATTCCCCCTATGGTGGAAATGGTACTCTCTCAGGTTGTGGCAACACTTGGGCAGTCCTGCACGGGACTTTAAATTTCTTTTTGTTGGCTGGCCTGTACAGGGATTGAATCCTGGCTCTTGGTGTTATCAGCACCATGCTCTAACCAACTGAGCCAACCAGGCAGCCCCTGCATGAAATTAAAAAAAAAAAAAGTGTTTATTTCCTGCAACTAGAATAACAACCCTACACAGGCAGGATTTTCCCCTGCTTTCCTATTTGTTCACTGCTGTATGACCATTAACTAGAAAAGTATCTGGCATGCAGTAGGTGCTCAAATACACTTTGAGTAGGACAGTCCAGGCAGAGGAAGAGCAATTGCAAAGGTCCTATGGTGGGAGGATGGTTGGCATGTTTAAGAGAAATGACACCAAGGTCAAGGGTTTGGATCCCAGTATTGGCCAGCTACAAAAAAAAAAAGAGAGAAATGAAGCCCAGTAATGAATAAAAACTGAGAGATTAGCAGGAGCCAGACTGTGCCAGGCATTACAAGTGGTGGTGAGGAGAGTAGATTTTAATCTAAGCACAGAGGAACCTGGGGAGGGACAAGGTCCTGGCTCCACTCACCCTGCCAGGACCTCATGGTCTGACACCTTCACGCTGGATATACCATCCCTGGCCTCCTCTAGCGTCTGCACTGGCTCGGGCCTCCGCGAGCGGCAGTCCCAGCAGCGGATGCTGGAATCGATAGATCCTGTGAAGCCAGCATGAAGGTGAGGTCAGGTTTGGGGAGCCGGGGCAGCATCCCGGGCTCCCCTGCCTAGGCCCCAGACTCACCGGACAGGATGACTGTGGCCTCTTCATTAAACTGCACTGTGTTTACCTTCTGAGAAACAATCACTGCCACTCAGAGGAGGCTACACTTTGGAGGATTGGGATAAAGACAGGGTTCCCAGTGCAGGTTAAAGCAAGGGCAAAGGCTAGCGGTAAAGGAGGTGAAGGGTTTTGGGGGAACCCCAAGGACAGGGCTTGGTGACAGCCCGGCCACGGGTGGGAGGAGGGAGCAGCATCTGGGGAAGGGCAAGGATCCTGACCCTGTAGTGGGAGGGGTGTGTGTCCCTGTCATTATCCACTCGCTAATATGGGTCCCCTCCGCTAACCACGCTCTTAATGAGGGTCTACAGGTTAACACTCACCCCCGCGTGGCCCCGGAATTTGCGCACAACCTGCCCCGATGCCACATCCCACAGCACCACCGCCTTATCTCCGCCGCCGGAGCAGAGACTGCTGTTGTCAAAGGAGCTAGAGGGCAGAGGAGGGAAGGTCAGCGTCCGCCTCCGGTCCCAGTCTCAGCGCTCCTATCCCGGCCCGGGCCTCGGCTCACCCGGCCGCGTCCAGCACCTCGTAGCCGTGGCCGCTGTACGTCCGTAGCAGAGTCCCCCGAAACGGATTCCACAACTTGAGGGTCTTGTCGCTGCCGCACGTCAGGCAGTAATTGCCATCCACTAGGGAATACCAGGCAGGGGTTACTGGGCCGCAGACCTCAGGAGGCGGGAGAAGAACCCGAATGAAGATGAAGGCGCTCACCATTAAATCGCACGGCTCGCACTGCCCTTTGTCCGCAGTCCAGCGTCTTTAACCGTTTCTGTGGCAGTTCCGGGGCCCGCGGCTTTGGTTCAGGGAAAGCCATGGCTCAGAGATCCCTTCCTCCCCGCCTTATATTGGTCTGTACGGAGGTTCCGAGGCTTCGAAACTCACGCTTGGGTGTAATCTTATTATTGCCCTCCATGATCTACTTCCTGCTTCTCACTTCCGGGTTCAAAATTTCGGCATTTTGGCGGCAGCATTGGGACTACTGAAACTCTCCTTCAGGTTTTTCCCCACTTCTCGCTTTTAAGGAACACTTCTAGCTGCTCCTAATTCTCCGTCCTCTGGCGGGGGGGCAGTCCTCGCCTCGGCCGTGAGGAACTGAAGCGCGACGGCTGCGGGTGTTACTCTAAAAGCCACCCCCCCCCCCATTTCTAC